TCAGTGTGTGTGGGAGCCGTACCCCAGTGAGAGTCAGTGTGTGTGGGGGCTTTATCACATTGAGATTGCCTTACATGAGCAGACAGCATGTGCCAGTGTTTCCAATGTGTGCATCCTGTTCTATCCCACACCCTCTCCATTCAGTCAACCCATAGTTCGATTTTCTGTTTTGGAAACCTTCCAGATTCTTATCAACTGAATTTGCTTTTAGTGTTTTGTTTAAATGCCAATCTTGTCTGGGACCTTCTCTTAAATGTCTGGCTGCTGAATTGGTTTGCATTCTCTCATATCCTACAGCACCTGTGCGTGTCCAGCTCACACTGTGCCCATGGATCTGAGTCTCTTGGTGCAGCTTGGTGGGTCAGTTTTGCCAGCTCCTAAAGGAAGGCCCAAAATGAGTGGGGTTCTCGGCACCTGGACATGCCCCAGACAAAACCAGCTGGACATGACAGGCCCTCTATCCGCTATCCTCACTTACCCGTGAGTCCACCGGACAAGGCTTCACATAGGAGCCTGGGAACCAACCAGACCGCTTGGTTTGAATGACCTTTCCCTGTAACAAAGACAAACATTTTCAGTGGTAGCTGGTTTCACCCGATGCGGTCCAATGACGAGGATGAGACCCTAAAGATATTTCCATCTAACACCACTTTGACACACCAGCACACAAGCTCCTCAAACTCAGAGCACGTTCAAGTGCAGATTTCACCCCCCAACCTGGAACAGTGCATCCCCCAGACTCACACTTCTGTACATGACAATTCAGTGAGAGGGATATCGAGGAATGGAACAGGAGCAGGTCTTTCAGACCCTCAAGCCTGTTACATGCAGCTGAGGTGTAAAATTAAATGGACTGATTAGAAATGAATATAACTGAAGCAAAACCAAAAATGGAAAAATGGAGAAGTCTTGAAATTATATTATTGTGGAAAAGGAACTAGAAGCAACGAAATGCTGAACAGAGTGAACATCATAATAAATCTGAAAAGAACAGAAAAACGATTGGAGCCTGACATATTTCAGAGGACGTCAGAGAAGAAAAGTAAGGAGGACAAGAGCGAGAGGGGAGGACAGATCAAAACCAAGAGTGCAGATCAGAAATAAATTGTTTCTTTTGATGGGCATCTCAGATTTACACATCACTGGAAACTGATGGAAGAGGAAATGACTTCCTGATTCAAGAGAACAGCACGGATCACCAAATTATTTTCCACATTTACACTGATCAGTTAGAGAGAAAGGTAATAAGAACAGAGACTTCCGGTAACAGGGAGCAGGATGTTCCACAACAGCTTTATGCAGAAATAAAACTTTATGATTTTCATGGGAGCATAAAAAAACAAAGGAGGAGACATCAGTATTGAGGGGGGTTCAAAGGAGAAAAGAATGGAGAGCTTTAGGGATGAAATGTTAGAGTTCGGACCCAAACGAGCTGAAGGCACAGCTCCCAATAGTTGAATAGTCATTAAAATCATGGGTGATTGAGACCTAAATTGAGGATTGACCCAGTCACAGTTCTTCTGACAGACTCCCTGAGCTCTGATCTAGCCGACACAACGATGCTCATTCAGAGAGCCAGTGCAGGGACAATGGGCCAAACACACTCCAACATTCTGTAATAATTCTGAACTTTTGGCTGTAAGCTCTCTGGTAAGACTAACCTCCCACCATGGTGAGTCCGGATCTCCCTTCAGCAGTTCGATGACTTCTCCAGTCTGGAAGCTGAGAACTGGTTTCCCCACAGGGGGTGGAGGTGTTCCCTGGAATGTACGAATTGCCAGCATTCTGGGACCTGGAAACAAAACGCAAAAGCTGCATTTCCACTGCGTTCCGAACTCATGTAGAAAGGAGAAGGTATGAGGTCACAGTTAACCACTTTAAATACACAAATACTGACAATGTCAACAACCACTCTATAGACCTGAGGCTGGGGTAGGATCAGAAATGGGGATGTTATCTCAGTGGGTCAGTGCTGAGGGAGTGCCGCACTGTAGGAGGGTCAGTGCTGAGGGAGCGCCGCACTGTGGGAGGGTCAGTACTGAGGGAGCGCCGCACTGT